GGTATACATTTGCTCATTTTTGTTTTCTACAATATTTGGAAAAGTGACCCATTTTAAGCAAAATCTTTTTTGCCATCTCAATTTCCGACTGTATGGGTTTTTATTGATACATTTTGACTGCTTCTTGAACACTCAGCCATCACGTTATTAGCTGTATGGAAGTGTGGGATCAATCACACAGCTAAGGTTGAACGTCACAGAGCTAATCTTTGATCTGGATCGCATAAGCAGTGTGGATTTTTGTTTGTTTTGTGTTTATCTTTTTTGTTCTCCACACTTTTGGATATCATCTTGATCCTAGAGCTACAGGGGCAAATGTGTTAAAATCTGTATCCCTGGGCTTGGGTTGTGGCCCGATGGTAGAGCACTTGCTTGAGGATTTGAGTTTAAGTCCAGCATGGAGGGGAAAAAAAGCTGTATTTCTCAATCTTAAGTAAAGGATCTTAAGACATGACAAAATTTTAAAAATCTGAGCTACGAAGAACTTTTAATTTTTCTAGCATTAAGGAAGAGTACAGTAAATATAAAGTGTCTGAGTCTGAGAAACAGGAGCTCTTCAAATAGCTACAGGGCTCTGAAAAGGCACACAGCACAGCAGTTCAGTGTGTGGACACTGGAGATGGAGACTGCTTGTATTCAAAGCAGTGGGGGAAGTTCTTCAGATTCTCCGTGGCCTCATTCTGCTTATGTCTAAAGTGAAGTAAAAAAAAAACTGCATAATATCCTATGGATCAAATAAGCTGATTCAATAGGGCACAGCCCATGCAAAACAAATGCTGTTAGCATGGTGTGTCTCAGAGAAGTCCCTTATTTCTCCCGATCTGACTACACAACTGTGAACCCCCACTCTTGCTCATCAGGTATCCTTGACTCTGTCCTGTATTGATTTTTCTTTATCATCAATAATGTAGCCTCATTTTAATATATTCGATAACAAATCTGTAAGAATTGTTTCAAGCCACCACAGTAGTAGTAAATGTGCATTTAAATGTGAATCTGAATATTAGTAATGTCCAGTAATTGTTGCAAATAGTGTGTATTTTAAAGAAAAAAATATCCACTCAACTGCCTATTATGCGCAAGGAACCACACTATATACTAAGAATACAGAAATCCATTAAGTCTACTTATTTGATTCTCAGGCTCATAAAACATTTCACAGGGATGATAAGATATCAGGACCACATACTAAATTAAAAAGAAACCAAAGTATTCATAAATTATTGAGTTCCAGTGTCCTTTGTCACATTATTGCCCAATTTATGTCATCATTTCACAGTGACTTCCTAGTAGGAGCTGAGGGGAATTTTTCAGGGAGAAATATCACCAAGCCCTTTGCAAACAGCACTGGATTGTAAAGAACTAACACAGCTTCCCAGGTGCTGAGAAAGTGGGTGGTGGCTCCCAGAATAGCACCCCGACTGGGAGACTGGGAGCCATGAATGAAGACACCCCAAAGGCATGCTTCAGAATGAAAGGGAAAAACTATGTAGGTGGGAGCACAGCAGCAATGTAAGGGCGATTAGTTCTAATTCAAAGTGGAAAACAAAGAGGAAAGTAATTATGGTCATTTGTGATGTGAGAAAGCACAGTGCCTGTTTGTTACACCACAAAATTCTCTTCTGACTCTAAACTACATTCCTTATGCTTGCCAAATCTTCTAATCGTTGTATCATTGCCTTCTTCACCTTGACACCTCATCCACGATCTCAAATTATCACTCATGCATAAAATGTGCTAAATACTCTTTCTAAAAATATATTATAGATAATCCTCTATATTATTGGATGAAATTCTAGAAAGCAATTCAAAATTTATATATGTTATGTAAGATAAGGTAACAAATACATAATGAAATAGAGATCACTGAATACAAAGGGAAAATAGTGTAATTATTTATAACAGGAAGGTATATAAAGTAAACAAAAGAGTTCTTCTTTACCCACTTGTCACATTTCTTTCATTGCCTAGCATTGGAAACTCCTTCCTGCATTAGGAAAATTCTTCACTTTATGGTTCCACCCTACAGAAGTTGAGTATTTCCAAGCATTACTGGGAAGAGAGGATGAGGCCTATACTTGGCCCATCACAAGCACCTACCCTGGGCTTCTGAAAAGAAATGGTGATACAAAGAAGGGGACTGGGGAGGCACACTCAATACCCCAAGCGATGACGACATGGTGCTGTCTGGCATCAACAGGGCAAAGAGGCAGGCTGCAGCTTCCAAGTTCTCATAAGCAGATGCATAAATTGTGGCAGACTAGCTGCACAGAGAACATCTGTCTGTGGTACTGGCTGATAAGAACTAAACCCTAATTTGCAACCATGCTGCAAAATGACTAATATTTCTGTAAGCCAGTCAATAAATGCCCTTTCTGCCTATGAACATTGGCTTTACTTGCTTAAAACAAAGAATCTTGTAAGTGGCATTAACTGCTATGCAACTGACCTAATTATTCTGAGCCACAGTGACAAGAAACTGTATCTAATCCACAATGCTATTATTAAATTTGTCACTGATGAAAAAGAATTGCTTTTCATTTGGATTTCCTAAATATTATTTTGACTTCTTATTTCTAAATGCTCTACTTGATTTTACTACTTCAAGGCTACAAATGATGCTTTCTAAGTATGAATAACATGTTCAAAAACACATAGATTTCCTCCCTTCTGTCAAATCCATTAGAACAGAAGCTCTATTTAAAGATGATGCACAAAATAAAAATAAAAATCCAAATAGTCTTCTACCCTATGTTCCTGGCTCAAAAGGAATAGACTTTCAGAGGCAAAGATCCCCACTTATGCAAAGTGGTTTTACAGGCTCAGCCCATTTGCCAAATTGACTCATGCCCAAATATCTCTGGCGCGCAAATTACCAAACAGTTAACCCTCTTATTAGCAGTCTCAGTAGGAGCCAGCACACGAATGTGCATGGGGCCTCATTTCCAGCCTGGAGAGCCCAACCAGAGCAGCTTTCAGGCCAAATGTCTCAGAATTACCAGAGATATGCCAGTGTCAGACTCTAAATACTTGAATTGTCAATAACTGCTTTTGCTTTCCCAGACTTTTGCTCTGGCAGTGAATTAAGGAATTGGACTAATTTAAAATAATGATTTTTTTTCCTTACTGTGTCTAGATTTCTAAAGCTGTCATTTACTCTATAATGCCAGAGAACTGAAAACATTTGGTTAAGACATTTACTTTCAGTAATAAAAGTGACAGATGATTTTGTTGTTAAAAAAAGATGATTTGAGGGTTTCTGGTTTTGTCAGGTGATGCGAAATCTTTATAAGATGCGGGGTAAGAATGTAAGCTGTAACTCTTCTCACACATTACAATCTCCAGCAATAGAATATTCTTTAAGGATAAAAAATTGGCACTCCTGTCAAAGCGACCCTTCACTAAGACTATACAGCCAGTGAGTCAGGCCATAAAGGACTCCTGTTTTCCCATGATTCATGAAGGCAGACCCACTGCTTCATTTTGTATTAGCTTCTCAGGACCACAGGAGAGAAACAGTTTCCTTTCATTCCCAGCCAGGTTGGAAATAACCCAGTCATTTAGAAACAAACAGGATGTAAGTTGATTTTAAAAAAAAAATAGCTAGATAATAAAATAATAAAATCTCTTATTCAACTGAAAATAAGTTTTTTATTTTCTCTTAAAAGAGAATTGATAAATCAAATGCAGAACTGAAGTGAAATTTAGGAAAGTATGCATTTTATATAATAAGTGAAAATAAAGTCTCTGTTGAGGTTTGATAATGCAGCATAAAATCCAGCAGAAATAATCTATTATGATACAGCTCGTTTGACACATTAAGAGGATAATTGAAATGTATCCCATCCAAGAAATACAAATGAGTTACAGTGACATCAACTCAAAGACACTGGCTCTTGCTTATGTGGTTTGTAGGAATTTTGAAAACCTCCAGAGACCTCAGTTGTTTGTAGGGCTTTGTAGAAGGTTGCAAAGCTCTGGGTAAAACTGACTTTTTTGCCTCACATCCATGGAGGCAAATTGTGTTCTTCTTTACTATTATTCCGAGTGCTTTAGTTTGCTACCATGTGACATGCAGAGGAAAACATTTGCTTTTATTCAACACCTATAGCAGAACATCTGTATTCACATTAATGAATGACATAATTACAAGGAAAGGACATACATTAAATGTTAGCATCTAAAATATCTAGAATATGGTGTGTTCAAGTTAATTGTCCATCAGGTGTTAAATGTAAAATATAAAGAACTCTGTGAAAAACACCAATAGAAGAACAATTTGTAGAACATGGGGAAAACATGTTAGTTTTAATCTTAACCATTCCAGATAGCAATAGTTTTTCTGGCTTCCTCACTCTCTCTTCTAATAAAGGGACTCAACAGCCTTGGCACCCATATTAAGACAAAACTGAATAATAAAATAATAATTAAAAAAAAAAAGAAAATCCTATTTCCTTATGGCTGATTGTAATTCAGCTTTAGCAAGCTTGGTTCTCATTGAAGGACCCATTCCATAGGTGAATTTGCTGCTCCCAGGACTTTAAGATGCTACTGGATATACCATGCAAACTTCCATTCTATTCTCTTCATGCTATTCTCATCTTCCAAAGAAATACTAAAAAGTAAATTAAAAATTTATAATTGCAAAGAAATATTTTGCAATACTTTATTTTATTTTTGAGGCAAGGTCTCATTGTGTTGCCTGGGCTGGTCTTAAAATCACAATCCTCCTGTCTCAACCTCCTGAGTAGCTGAGATTATAGGAGTGTATCAACACTCCTAGTCAAAAAGAAATATTTTAGATAGATGCTAGATAAAGTAAGTTTTGGATGTTTCCATATGATCAGAGTCCTGGTTGCACTGCTGGGTTGGGTCACTGTGCAGCTAAGCATATTTTACTGTCCTTCTTGAAAATGTAGTATTTAACAATGAACAACCACCTCAGAGATGTTTTCTTCCTTCTATACTGTTATGCAAAAATGACTTGAAAGCCTCAGTACCTTCTTTTGTCTACTCTCAGCAGCAGCCAACTGTGTGGACATCCTTTCTTGCATTTTTCTGCAGTGGGCCATGACTGCTTCAAGAATGGTGAGGGGGTTGGTACAAACTGGCTTCTTCTCTTTGTCACCAGCACCTGCTTCATAGTCTCTCTGGAGTGCCAAGAAAGGGTCATTTAAATTAAATCTCCCATACCGTTCCTGGATAAACACCTCCTTCCTGCGAGCCTAGAACAAAATCAGAGGAATGTATTGAAAAAAATGAAAATATACAGAAAGGTATCTGTAAGAAAGGTTCAAGATTATTTTTCCAAATGGTAATTGTAACTGCTATGAATAATGGTTTACAATGTCAGGTGGTGAGCCAAAGGCCAAAGTGACCACCAATCCCTGACTAGCTGGGCAGGCCATTCAGTTCATTTGAAACTTATCCTGATATAGTTTGGATCTTGACTATTTCCCGAAGGCCCATAGGTTGAAGGCTTGGTCCCCAACCCTTCGTGGTACTGAGAGGTGATGGAACCTTTAGGAGCTGGGGCCCAGTAGAAGGAAGTTAGGTCATTAGACTATGACCCTTGAAAGGGACATTAGGACATGGGCCCCTCCTCTCACTCTCACTTTGCTTCCTGCCTTTATGAGGTAAACAAGCCTTGTCTAACATCCACTCCCACTATGGCGTACTGTGCTGCCCAAACTAAAAAGGCCAAGTAGTTATGGAGTAACACATCTGAAACCATGAGCCAAAATAAACCTTTCCTCCTTTTAAGTTGATTATCTCAGGTACTTTGTCACAATGCTGGAAGGCTGACTAATACACTTCCTTTAAGAAAATTATCTTTTACATTACATGATACAAACAGTTTTTCCCATGATGCCTTACTCCCTCAAAAATCTTAATTTCAGGTTCAGTCTTTTCCAATTTAAAGTAAGATCAATGATCAATACATACAATATATACTTTCAAAATTATTACACTGTATCTCATAAATTTGTATAACTAAAATAATTTTAGAAAGTTTCTAACAAATTAAAATTAGAAATACTGACAATTAGCAAAAGCCCAAAAATAAAATTACCTCTATAATGATAGAACTTATATTTCAAATAAAAATCAGACTAAGTCACAACAAATAAATATCATGCAAGTCTTTTTCAAGTTAGAAAGACACTGTAAGGATATTTGATATAAAAATCAAATAATTTGTGAAACTTTTTATATAAGAAAATCAAGACATTCATATTCTGTTAAGTTTGCCTAAACATAAAACCATTCAGAACACTTAAGAATATGGAATTTCTTCCCCATCCTTGAAGAGCATTAAAATATAGTTCACAGAATCCCAGGAAATTATGCAACCTCGTTTTACTCAAAATGTCAGTCCGTCAGTGACAAAGTTAATTTCATACTCATGTAATGAATACCAACTGCAACTTTCTATAACTGGATTACCAGGGTCTTTGAAAAAAATGGAAAACAGCAGTAGAAATATATCGAAAACTAGCAACATTTTCCTAATTCAGGTCATGTTGGAAAAATCACTAAAAAAAAGGAAAAATTCTATGTCACTACTGTCGGAAAAAACTAAATTACAATAAACCAAGAGTAGTTTTCTCAAATGGTAAACATGTTTTCTAATATTACCTGCATTTCCTTACTTTAAAGGCAACTGCATTTCAACAGTTAAACTCTCCCATTTTTAGAATACTGTCAGCAAACCTATGACCAGATAAACACAAGTGTAATGATAGATGGGGAAAATATTTCTTTTCCTATTACCAAATCAGATTAAGAAATAAAATTTACAAATAGTACAGTTTCACCAAACTAGCTTTCAAAAATTCATTTTAAATTTAAAAGACAGCAAGGTTAATGACTTAAAAGCATTTGGTGTTTTTAAATTCTTCAAATTCACTTATGTAATCAATGTACTGAGTATGTATCACTTGAGAGTAGCAATTTCAAAAGCAATTCACTTTTCCCTTTAATATTTATCTGATGTAGCTCCTCCTCTATCCTGGGACAAAACCTCGTAGCCCTATAGTTTTTCTATTCACTATATAATATCCTAATGTAATTTAATGAGTTAGTTGCATCACTGAGACCAAATGCCAGCAGAAATAATTTAAAGGAGGAAGTATTTATTCAAGCTTGTGGTTTTTCACGGGGTTCATTCTGCACTTGGGCAGAACAGGTGGCATAAGCATGTGCCAGAAGGCTACACACTTCATGGCAGACAAGAAGCAGAGAGCAAGACAGGAAGAGACCAGGGATAATATGCCTCCCCCCCAAGGACCCACCCCCAGTGACCTACTTCTTCCAGTTTGGCCCTACCTACTGAATTTTCCAACCTCCCCCCCTCCAAAAAAAAAGTGCCAGTAGCTGGGGACAAAACATTCAAAACATTAGCTTATGGGGAACATTTCATATTCTAAGTATAATACTTAATAAAAGTTTATCATCACTTTAAGTTGCAGATTATTTTCAACTGGCTATCTGCAACAGCTTCCCTTTCCCTAGCAAGCATCTGGTACAAGCCAACATCCACTATCTGGGAAGGAGGTACCTATGACAACCTCTCTCCTTTTATCAACACTTTCTCCTCATTCCAGGTTGTTGTAGACCTCTCTGGGTTGGAAGGCACTGGAGGTAGATGATGATGGGGAGATGAGGGAGGCAGGAATGTTCTACCTGACTGGTTCATTTGGTCGGCTATCTTCACCACCTGCACATGGAAAATAATTAAAGCCTATTCTTTTCTCATGAAGTACTTGGTGACTCTTTGGAAGACCATCTCTTTCCCTGTGCTGGAATCTATTTGTCCAGTTTCTTTGATGCAAGCCAAAATTTAAGATAGGCTACCTCACATATAGGGCCCTGCACAAAATAGAAAAGTGGGGCTTTTTGCTTGAAAGTTATTAAGAACTTCAAGATGGCAATTGCACAGCATTTGCCAGTTGTTGTATGCCCAGAAATCAGCCTGGCATATGCTCCTTATATAGCATTTGAAATCCAGCTTTCATTGACTGAGGTCTTGTGTTCTCCCCAGACCACCCTAACACACAGGACCTGAATCAATCTCATTCTTATTCTTTGATGCCCATTGCCCAACATGGCCTATAGGAAACATTCATAAGTTTTTATCCAAACAAACCACAAGAGGACCACTGTATCCATCTCTCCTTCATTTCCACAGAATGGCTACTTGTGTTATCTCCACCTCCAACTAGCAACACAAAATTTGCAGGAGATACCAATATGGTATTAAATTACATCTTTGAAGCCATGTTTTTTTTCACTTGATATGGAAGGAGAAGCAAGACCCACAGTACAATTTTCTACAGGGAAACATTCTACAGGGAAATCACACACAAGAATATTACTGAGGCATAAAAAGAAAGAAATTCTGTCATATATAATAACATAGATGAACCTGAAAGACATTATAGTAAGTGAAATAAGACAAGCACAGAAAGATAAATACTGAGTGTTTTCACTCATTTATGGAAGCTAAAAGAGTTTTATCTCATTGAAATAGAGACTAGAATAGTGGTCAGTAAAGGGTAGGAAAAGTGGGGAGGAATACAAAAATAGTTAGGTAGGAGTAATAAGTTCTAGTGCTTCTTAGTCACTACCAAGAAGGCTGACTAGAGTTCACAACAGTTTATTATACATCTCAAAAGAGCTAGGAGAAAAGAGTTCAAAGATTCCTGACACAAAGAAATTACAAATGTTTGAGGAGTTGGAAATACTAATTACAATGATTTGATTATTACAAATTGTATACATGTATTGAATTATGACACTATCTCCCATAAATATGTATCATTATGCATCAAATAATTTTAAAAAATTATTAGCGCTACTGACCTAATTGTGACATTTCAAAATGTGAACAAAATTTTTTCTGAAAATGTTGTATAATTCTATGTATGCAGGATCATAAACCTAGAAATGCCAATTAGTTTGCTTTGCAAACACGAACTGACATGTAACCCTCATAAAGAAGTGCAAGACACATACATTAGATTTTAAGGGCAAAATTGGTCTATATTTGTTGTCAACTAGCTCTGTGGCTATCTTTAATTTGCAAAACCAGAGAAATGAAACAAGCCTTATTTTTCTCTAAGATACCTTGAATTCAGACAACAAACATGATTTTACTTTTTTTTTAAAGTTCCTGAAAGCATAGCAACCTTAGGTAAAATGAATTTCAAAGGCCACATATACTCCACTAACATTAAATTAACCCCTGAACGTGTATTTATTGTTTTCAGAGTTTCCATGTAATAATCTTATTCTTTGACCATACAGTAATGTATTTATATATTTTATACATATTTGAAATGTACTTTTGTTATCCTGGTCTTATCATTATAAGCAGGGTTTCTAGAATTAAGTTATACTATAATTTAAAATGTGCTTTTTAGTCTATAGCTTTCCATCATGCTTACAAGAATGCAGTTGCTCATCTTAATTCAAGGGTTAGAAATCACAGTTTAAGAATACATTATGAAGAAAAAGATGTTGTAGTGTCAGCTCTTAGTATACTCTTCCCATGAGAGATAGCAAATCATCCACTAAACTGATTTTTAAAAAATCTTTACATATTTAACATTAGAATAAAATACATCACATTGTGTCAATTTTTTGTCACTAACAAAATACCTGACATAAACAACTTAAGGGAAAAAAGATTTATTGTGGCCCAAAGTTTCAGTCCATAATACTTAGCTCTGTTGATTCTGGAACCTTGGTGGCTAGAGATCATAAAGGTGGGAACATGTCAGAGGCTACTCACCTTATGGCAGACAGGAACAAGAGAGAGAGGAGATAAAGAGAGGAACCCAGGAGAATACACAGCCCCCAAGGACATTCCCTGGTGATCTTCTTCCTCCAGCTATGTCCCACCTCTTCAAGTTTCCAGAACCTCCCCAAAAGTGCCACCAGATGGGGAACAACCCTTCAATACAAGAGCCTTTCTGGGGGAATACTTCATATACAAACCATAAAATACATCCATTCATTTTTTGCATTGATATTACTAGTGGGAAGTAGAAATTAGTTTTCTTTACCAATATATTCTAACCAAAGTGGATGAGTTTTCCCAGTTGGAGACAGTGTGAACCAGTAGATTCAATTATAAGCTTAGGGACTTTCAGCAACTTTCAAGATCTCACTACTAGGATGCTGGACAGTGGTGGCATACTCAAACACCTACAGGGGCCAT